TCTCTTCTACCTGTCGTAGCCTGAAGTACTCTAAAGTTCTTCAATGACTTAAGTAGTATACGATTTAGGCTTCATTAGAAACCTGCCTAACTTCTTTTCCATCATAGTCAAGTCTCATTTTTTCAATCTGTTTTTCGTTTTGTGAATCACAATTTCTGTTGGTGTTAAGCTATGGTTGTTTTTGACGTTTTAAACTCAGAAAGAAAGTATGCTTCCCATTTCTTCAACAAACAAGTGGCTAAGTCTTTTCCCACCGTACCTGCTCTCTTATAAGAAATATCGACAATTTTTACCCACCCCCATAAATAATATTTTTTGTTTCTTCTCCAGGACGAAGATTCACTATATTTAATTATTATTAATTTCCTTTCTCTGTGTTGGCAAAGGAAATATCATCAGTTAAAGTGATGAGACTCTTGCTAAATGGTTCAGACTACATAATATATTTTAGATTTCGCTATTACTTGCGTTTTTTTTCAGTTGTCATCTTCTTTACTTTTGCTTGCTTGACTTAAAACTTTCTGTAAGGAAGTTTAACTCCAAATATATAGGTGTGAAAGTAATGAATAAAATCTATAATAGATAAGAAAGTGTGATTAGTATTTCATAGTATGGAACATTTAAAATCTCACATTTTAATACTTGTATTATTGTTAGAATTACAAATCTTTTTGTGTTTTTGTTACGTTGTTCGTGCTCTGTTTCAACTAAAAAATGTTGGTCAAACAAGTGAGCAACGCAGTATAGAAAAAAACTTTTTAAGTACAGTGGTTTTTAACTCTTTAGATGATAAAAAGAAGCCATCCTAAGTCATAGTGACTTGTAGTTTCGTTATATTTCATTTTATTGGAACATATCATACGTCTTTTTAAATATTTTCTTTATTGATTACGCGAAGTTCAGTACTTCATAGTCTTAATTCCTTATTTTTTTGAGTAAACAAAGAATATTTGGTAATAGAAGTTTCAGAGAAAGAAAATCAGCGTTATAGTGATTTGACGAGAATCATCAGTCGTGAGCATTAGTTTTAAATAGACTCTTAAAAGTATTTATTAGCATATAATGGGTATATAGAAAGTTCAGTTTGTTAATTAAAATACACACGGTTTGCCCAGTTTTAAAATCTTTAATTTAATTTTAGTAAATGTACCTTTCTCTCTATAAGTGCCGTGAGACGTGATCAATAATAGGGCGGACACCATAACTTTACGATTTCTATCTATAGCGAAAAGAAACCCTACTCCATATGGCTAGGAACGATCTTTATCGACTACAGTAATGTGTTTCTTCAACCATAACTCTTGGAAGGAGCTAGTAAAAAAGTCCACATTATCTCAGTTAGCCATCAAAACTCTGCCGTGCTAGTATTGGAACAGTAGGACACGAAGAAGACACGGCGTCTAGTTCATTCAGTAATACCCACAGTAACTGGCGTTGGGGTGAAATATCTGAGAGTCTTTATAAAATTTGAAAACCAAGTTTATGGTGATACTAAATCATACATAACTACACACAACTCTGGATTTCTGGAGAATGTGATCCTGTAAGAAGAGATTTATTACTTTTTACCATTCAGTTTTTTGTCAACTTTGATGTACTCGAGTAAACTATTGCTTTATTCATAAATTAGAAAACAAGAATATACTTTCAGCATCTTTAAAGGTCGTCTTTTAGACCTTACATTTATAAATACGTTTTATATATTTTATGATAAAAGTCAAAACTTTCTCGTTTGGTTCGAACCACAAGCTGATTATAAAGTAATTTGTTTGTTTGTTTGTAATTAAGTACAAAGTTACACAATGAGCTATCTGTGCTCTGCCCACCACGGGTATCGAAACGTGGTTTCTAGCGTTGTAAGTCCGCAGACATACTGCTGTTCCACTGTGGGGCAGAAGTAGTTTCGGCTATAGATGTAAACAAGAAAGATGAATATAGGGAAGAATGTTGAATTGGAAACTTGGGATTTATATAAAAAAGAGAAAAAGCATGATGATTACGTTGAAAATTCCCATCAACTTCGTATCATTTGCTTGCCATCTTCAATACAAGTCTGCACACAGAATCTAAACAACTAAATTCTTGTGACCCGGCATGGCCAGGTGGTTAAGGCACTCGACTCGCAATCTGAGGGTCGCGGGTTCGAATCCCCGTCCACCAAACATGCTCGCCCTTTCAGCCGTGGGGGCGTTATAATGTGACGGTCAATCCCACTATTCGTTGGTAAAAGAGTAGCCCAAGAGTTGGCGGTGGGTGGTGATGACTAGCTGTCTTCCCTC